GCAGAAAGATAACAGCCTCTGCTGCTGTGTGGGTGTGAGGCAGCTCAGCTTCATCGGTCCAACTCTCTGCGACAGTGTAGGGAAGAGGGACTGAGGGAAACCACTACAAAGTGCAGAAACCATGCAGTGGCTTTCTTATTAACAATCCCGGCGCTGCTCTTCTTATGTCAGTACATGAGCTCGGATCTGGAGCTCGTCTCCCCCACTGAATGGCGTCATCTTTGAATAGTCAGCATTTTGTAAGTGGAAAGTAAATGAGGAAAAAGGTTTCCTCTAAGTTAAAAAGCCGCTTTCTTGCTCCATGGTTTTGCCTCCAGGAAAGTCTTTGTTCCAGCTGTGTCAAGTTGATTCATGGTTTTACCTCGTCATCCTCTTCTTCAGATCAGATTCTTTAAAGAATCAGGAAATGTTGGGTTTTCATGAGCAGTAACTTACCATGATATATATATATATATATATATATGAGCTTGCATGGTGGGTTTTTAATCATATTGTTACGTATTTTCAATATAAGTTATATGCATTTTATTATGTATTTTATGTTACTATAATCAATAACCTTCCAGCTCCAAGGCTGACTGCCCACACAGTTTCCCACCAAACTCCAAGTTGTAAGACCACAAGTGTTGCAGTTAAGAAATACATGAAAAGAAGTCTGACTGGATAGTTAAATGTAATAAGTAAATGTTCGAAATGTCCTCGTGTCACTCAAAGTTGTTTTACTAGTTTAAATGCAAAGTTGATTGAAAATAAAATAGAAAAGAAAAATGAGTCAAAGTCTAAACACAATTACAGTGTCTTCTATGATTCATTCTGTTTATTATAAACGTTGCTCAGCGGCGCATGAAGCAAAGAAAAGTCAGACATCTGAGTTTAGAATTCAGATGAAAATACTGATGTCAGTTTGTGTGTGTGTGTGTGTGTGTGTGTGTGTGTGTGTGTGTGTGTGTGTGAAAGAAAAGGAAAGACAATAAGAAAGTAAATAAATTAAAGCAAATAATATAAATTACAAAATAATAACATTTATAAACGTTTCACACTACAAAAATATTAATAAAGTCAGTGTAGTTGATTTGTGATCCTTACGGATCCACCCACCAAAGGCTTCAGCATGCATGTGAACCGTGGATTAATTACACAGTCTGACCATCGTAGTGTGAAATAATTGTTTACGGTCGATCGTTATCTGCAACTATTTCTAGTTTCAGATCTCTAATAATGTTACATTGTTGAAATCGAAATGAGGAAAGCGAGTAACTTTAGCAGCACCGCTAACGGCTAACGGACAGAGGTTCCCTTCAGTAACGTTATGATGGATTCAGGCTCTGTTCAGCAAAAATGAGTATTGGGCGAAGGTGAATAGAACGTTATCATGATGAGTTCAAATGTAATCTCGTTAAATGTAGTTTTCGGCGAGAAACTGTTTGAAGAAGATCTTTTCACAGCATGATAACAAAACGACAACTAAAGCGATCTGTATCGGCCAATTTGGCTCAGCTAAAATCGACAATTGGCGGCACAAAAACTTGATTGGGGGCATTTTTAAGTTCAATTTGCTGAATTTCTTTCTGCTGATCTGATCCGTAACTCAAAACCGTGATACGATCTGAACCGTGAGTATCAGCTGAATCTTCTTGCTAATACACTGAAATACAAAACAGGACCTTGACAATAAGATATTCACAATGTTAAAGGGTTTATATGACCCAATAGATCTGGCAGAGGGGGAATGACATAGAAAAGGCTGTCTTTTTTTCCAGACCAACACTTCCAAAGCAATGCAGTTGTTGTAACATCCAGACTCAGATCACAAAGAAATGACAAACAGATCCTGTTCAAAGAGGCAGGGACTTTTCTGTATTATACTACAGTAGCCTTGGACTGTGATTAAGTGCTTCAACACACAAAACAGAGGCTTGGTGTGCTCGCCTGTCGGGTGCGTTACCTTTTTTTAGATTTACGGGTCTTGACTGGAAGCACATTTTAGTCCTTAGTAACAGTTGAAGAATGTATTGAGAGCCCTTACTGGAACAGAGCTGGAAGTTGCACACAAGCATCCTGACCTTCTTCTTTACAATGCAAAGAGAAAAGAAAAACAATCGACTCTGCACTTTGATTCTGGGTGGATTTTGTTGCCAAATGTCATATTCCTTGCCCAGCACTTCTTTCTGCAGGTAGAATTGTCAGATACATGATGAGGTAGGCAGAGACTCTGCCAATCAGATCACCATCCTGAACAGAAATATTAACTTGAAAGGAGAGTTGACTGACCATTGCAATAGCCACCTCATTCTAGAGCCGCTTTACTCCAGGTAAAAGGGCTTGGCCTTGCAGGTAGCAGCTTCCTGATGATTTCCACTTTGAAGTAATGGTATGTGTGAGAAATCCATTACTTTAGCCCTAATACCCTGCTGGGATGCTGGTAGGAGTATGTGACACTCCATTTCCTCTCATTTCCTGGCCTCACTGCCAGAGCTTCATATTAACTTATTGTGTAAAATGTTGTTTTTTTCTCCCATATTCAGTTTTTATGTTATTGTTTTTTTTGCAGCACTTACTTACAATAACATTTTGGGCTGCAGGGAAAAAAGCAGGCGTCTTAATGCAAACTGTCACCCTACTGTCATGTTCAAGACATATTGCAACTGACTATAATGTAAGCAAACTGAAACAATCCATTCTTGTGCTCTTTTAGTGCTGGACTCATTTTACCTGGAGTCCCCGTAGATCTGGTCATGTGAGGAAAGTGGAGCATCTCACTGTCTGCAACTGCCCCGTGTGAGAAGAACCCTGTCACACTCATCCATCAATGGTGGACTGTAAGTACATTTACTCAAGTACTGTATTTCAATACAATTTTGAGTTATTTATACTTTAGTATTTTCTTTTCATGCCACTTTATACTACCCTACAATTCAGAGAGAAATATTGTCTTTTTACCGCCATTATATTTATGTGAGAGGTATATTTATAGATTAAACTACGGAAAATACATTTTGATGATTGTTGAAATAATTTTTTCATGGTTCCAGCTCTTCACATGTAAAGATTTACAGCTTAATAGTAATTTTATTGTCTTTTATATTCATATATTTATTCATTTTTTTAATTATTATTATAATTGTGCCCAAGTGCCCACTTGGTAATTGTGATGGTGTCGCTTTCTCTGTTTTTTGTTAAACAATTGATTTATTGTAATAATTAAGAGATTCAACTTTTATGCAAAACATTTATTAGTTGCATTCCCAAATAAATTAGTTAAAAGCCAGCTCCACCTCCAGCAGCTGCAACAATCAAATACACATGAATAGATATAGTAAAATAATATGCAATGTGTATAGAACAGTCAAAAGGGTAATGTTTCTGTATTTAATACTCTTAAGCACAGTTCTCTGGTTGTACTGTTCCTTATGTAACATTTACAATGCAGGGCGACAGTCCGTCCTGCTTTGTAGTCGGGTAGTGCAGCATGCTTACCTCAACATTATACAAATATAAATATGCAGATTTTGAAAAACGCAGAAAGACCTTCACATTAAGAGCATAGCAGGCTTCTGTTCATTTTCTGACAATCAGTTTGTATTATACATTTTTATTATCTTCATAAAAACCATGGAGACACAATGGGATTCTTTTGAGAGCAGAGTCATTACTGCTCAGCGTGCTTTTCCCGACCAAATATACAAAACAATGTTGCTGCAGGAATCAAACATACTGCAGAAACCTAAAACCTAATTAAATGAGAAGCAAGACAAAGTAAAAGCATCTGCTGAACTTGTCTTAATAAACTACTGCCATCTTAAGGAGGAATGACAGCATTGCAACAGGAAGCAACTGTTAATGCTTAGCTCACATATACAGTAGATGCTGACAGAAATCTCAGTGTGTGGACTTCTTAAGTTATCAGGCTTAAAAAATGATTTTCAAAAAGGGACATCACAGCGTATTCACTTGCAAATAAAAGGGCAATTTATTGAGGAGAAAGTCCACATATAAGGAGCCGGTTTTCTTCATAAATATTACAGTTCTAACGTTCCTTGACTTCACAAGAAATTATTCTTTCTGAAGAGGAACATTTTACTTTTTTTAAACAAAATGCTGCTTGGCTCATGAATATGAGATCAACATAAATGCAGTAATTTATCACATAAAGCACAAGTCTCCTAGTAATACGCATAATACATTTACAGAAAAGGTTGCATTGTGTTATGTGGCTTTGTTTTAGTTATTTGAATAAAATACAACCAGAAGTAAAAAAGCAAATTGTTGCTGCACAATGTTAACAGGTATGAAAGAGTTGTAAAGCACTGTAGTCCCAACAGGTAAGATTTGGGATTAAAACTATCATAGCGAGTTGTTAAATACGCACAGAGGGCAGCCGAGCAGCACGCAGCTGGTTTATGTCACGTCTACTCAGACATGTAAAACGGATAAGAGCAGCTACTTTTAAAGGTGGTCATGGGGACAAAAACAACTGTGAATTAATGCACGATAACCTGTTGTAAGAATAATACAATCAGAAGCAATCATGCTTCTCAATACACATGCATGTTTTTAAGAGAAGTGATTTTGACCTCTTGACAATTCCACTTGGATTGTTAATCAATATGAGCAGCAACATAAATCATGTTTCCACACTGATCCATCTGCAGTAGTTGACTAACAAAGAAAGAACACTGCCACAGCTGCTTGCGGATATATAGGAAACACTTTATTTTAAACAGTATCTTCTCAAACATTTTTCATTATAAAGTTCCTCTAGATGCAAAAAACAAAATACAGATGATACCAAAATCACCATTTATCTTTAACACCTTGATTCTCAACAAAAAAACAACTGACACCAGTCTTGAAGATTTCACAATTGACTTAAAAAAGTCCATTATTCAAACACAGTGGAAATATACAAATGAAGGTGAAAAATGCAGATCTAACATAAGATTCTTATTTTCAACTGATCAAAACAAAGAACGTAAAAGCAACTGCTTTTATGAAACAGGTGGTTCTCGAGGCAGAAAAACAAAACAAGAGTAACGAGCTTACTTGTCTATCATTGTGGAAATGTGACTTTACAAACATCCATTACAGAATACTGTAAGCTGTGCATCAGCCCCGACCACATATACCGGTCAATAAAAGTCACTGTATAGTTCCTTCCATTACAACTAAAGTAATTAGTTTTTTAATTAGATTATTATTTTTTTTAACCAAAGAAAGCTGCCTTGGCATACATGTCCACGAGGCCATGGCTACCGTGATGAAAGGTGTGGGCAGAGGTCAGTCTCTTCACAGGTCAGGTCCAAAGACTGATCACAAGCCTGCTTTTCTAAACTCCAGGCCACACATACAACATTATATAAATAAGGGCCTGTAAAGCGAGGCAAAAACTTGAACGTCAGGTCACATTATTTGTCTGAGATGTCATCTTCTTGTGCATCACAGAAAGGAGAGAGAGAAAACTGTTGCACAAAGCTCTGCTGCAAGAGGCCACACACCTTCATGTCCTCCTCTGTGAAGGAGAGAGCCTCTAAAATACTGCTTTCAAGCTCCTCTATATACTCCTGCTTCAGCTCAGTCTCCGAGCTGGATGAAGAGCAGGAATCGTTATCGAGGCTGCTCTGCAATGTTGTCACGATGTTGTTCAGTTGGTCATTTGACATTATGTCACTGTCCTGATCAATTCCATGTCCACTGTGCTGACTCATACTATCACTCCCTGACAATGTGTGGTTGTTGTGAACATTACCATGTCTGCTACGCTGGCTGCTGTCATTTTCATTTGAAACTGTGCTGCTGATTATTTTGGCATTGGTTTCAAAAGGCCCTTTTGTCCTCCTGACAGACTTCAAGCAGGCCTTGGTGTTGGTCCGGATCACCACTGGAGCAAAGTTGCTCTGGCTGAGTTGACTGAGAGGCACCGACTCAGCCATCACCATATCTTCAGACACTGTTTGGACGATATTGAGGCTCCACAAATCTCCAGTCCCTCTTCTGTTTTTGTTAGGGGTGAGGTCCTTGCTCAGGTCAACAAGGATGCAGTCGGAGTCCTTTTCACCACTTTCTGTGTCCATCTCATCCTCAGAAGCATCCTGCTCCAGGCACTCTGCCTCCCAGGTTTCTTCGCATGGCTTCTTGGATCCCCTTTCAGGAGACTCAAATACCACCCCTTTGGGAACAAGAGGTTGGCAACGTCTGCGGCGAAGGCTGGTGTATGCGGAGGAGCCGAGTTGGCTCTCAGGCTGTCTCAACATGTAGTGTCGGACGGACTCGGGCACCAGGATTTCATGGCGCTTTTTGGTGGGCAGTAAGGCAAAGAAACTTCCGGGTACATGGTTTCCTACAATGGGTACAAGGGAGGTAGGTTTAAGTGCAGAGACAAAATCCTCCAGCTCTTGGTAAGAGGAGTGGTCGGAGTACGGCACCACATGGACGTTGGGGTGAAAAGAGACCAGGGGCCTGCTGGTGGGAATGATGGCCAAAGTGGGTTGTTCTTTGTTCCACTGGTTTAAAGTGGCAGAGCAAATCTCTGACTGTTGCACTACTCGGATACGACCGGCTCCTGGGTCAGTGGTGAAGACGTCAGGCAGCTCCAGCGCTTTGAGGGTCTCCATCCTCTCAAAGCACACCTCGATCCAGGTCTTAAACTCCATCGCCAGCTCCAACAGCAGGGACTCCTTTCCAAGTGCGTAGAGACCTGCAAGGAAGCGCAAGAGAGCATGAGGGTCTGTCTCAGCTGAGCGTGCGGAGCAACAGCAACATCACAAAAAAAAGAGAGCGCAGCTTTTTGTGAACTGGCAAACCAAGATACTTTTCAGGCTGTTAGCTTGATTTGAACCTCGATTAAATCACTTTTTTTTAACATATACAGGGGTGTGACAATAGAAAGATGTGTCAAAGACAGCACACAGTCACAGTGATGGAAAAAAAATAACAGTTTCAAATAAAGTCAAAGACGTTAAGAGAGCTGACGGTATATAACTTTTTGAGAACCTGTATGTTCATCCTGTTGAGATGAGGAGAAAGTATAGAAGGTATGTGTAGAAAGGTCTAAATAAAATTACCTATGACAACATTGTGGTTGGCGTGTCTGCGGATGATCTCTTTGATTTGTTGAGTGGCTCGCTGTCTGGAGGGGAGGGTGCGGTTGGGATCACAGTTGGTGTTGTCTAGGTACAGGACATCTATAGTGGTGTTGGTCCTCAGGCACGGCTCACGCAACATGGAGGGAGTATATCTGAAGTCACCTGAAATGAATAATGTGTCAATGCTTACTGTTACTTGATTCCGTAATTGATAAAGTACCTGCACATATTTGTATGTCATATGATACCAAAGACGATGTTGGAAAGCAAAATACTGAAGAAAAAAAAAATAGCTTTACATTTTTTTTCTACATCCTAGAAGCATCAGATGAAATGTGTTGCCCATGCATTCAGACACTGACCAGTGTAAAGTATAGAGCCAAAGTAGCCTTCGAAGAGAAACATGACAGCCCCCGGACAATGGTTGGCATCCATCAGTGTGACTGCCAGCCTCTCCTTGCCGATGTCATCCAGTGGAAACAGGTAAGGCTCATCTAGCTCTAGTGGATGGATCCACTGTTCTTTCACCTGATCAAAAATAGAAATGATCAGCAGAAGAAATACAGCTTTATATCTACTGTTGTTCTTAACCGCGGCAACCCTATGATGCCAATCTTCTTCTGAAATACATGCAACACATGACAAATATGTTGACAAAGTAAAAGAGGGTCATCCATTCATTTTGTTTGCTAAAAAATATTATTATATTAAACAAGGACAGTTAAGTGAATGTTGACTTAAATCTTCTAGAAACTAAAGAGACTGGGTTGTCACAAAAAAAAAAATAAAGATAATACTTTAGCACTGCAAAACAGATATGAGCACAATTTAAACCAAATCTGACTGCAAAAAACAGTCAGAAGTCATTGTTTTACTAATGTAAAGCACACAGACCCGTGACCAGTTGCTCCAATGAGCCTGCACGGAGCCCATCCGCATTAAACAGTCCCTCCAGTTAGCTACAGCACACTGAACTGTTATGAAATAACGTGACATTTTACCTGGGTGGTATTTTAATTTGAGTCACAGTACACACGTTTGCGTTTCCCTCACCTGCAGTTTGAGTCTGAGCAGAGCGGCGGTGGTTGGTGAGCAGTAGATGGGCCAGTTGCTCCAGGTGGAGGACAAACCCACCGTGTGGTCGCTGTGCATGTGGGACAAGAAAAACAGCCGTGTGCCCGGACACTTCCGCACGTGCCAGAAGTCCACGGCCAGCGGGGTGTTGGGGATGACTTTTCCGTTGCCTGACATTGTCTGAGGTTCCACTGGATGTCCTACAACCAGAAACAGGTGAGCTAACAACTGTTTCTATGTTTAACGGCTGTGGACATTGGTTGTAAAGTTAAGGTTCTTTCAGGTAAAATACTACCTTCATACCGGTGATAATTAATAATAACAATAATAATAATAATAACTTTATTTATGTAGCACCTTTAAAAACAGAGTTTACAAAGTGCTTTAACAGACAAATCAGCAAAAGCAAGGCAATAATAACAATACCAGAAAGCTCAGTGAGACAGTTGATACGATAAAAACAAAGAAATAAATATAATATATATATATATTTAGTCAAATAATTTAGTAAAATCAACAAATAAAAATAAAACAGAAAAGCGACGTCATCATTGGATATAATTGGATGCAGCGTTAAGCAATCATAAGTAAGACACTATAGTGAACTACGGACGTTGCTAAAAACAATGTGGCTAGCAGCAGTTAGCATTAAGCAATTGTTTCGTTATTGTGCGATTATAAAATCTCTTGTCCAACCTTCGACATCACAAGCAGCTGGTCGTCGTTACATGTTCAGTCACAGTGTTTACAGCCGTTTATGGACCTCGCCATTTCTGTTTTTAAGTTAACAATCGACGCCCCTTCATAAGTGTGTGATGTATGCGCCGCTTCCCTTTCTTCTTCTTCTACGGTGTTGTACTGTAGCTGTCGTCCAGGTTGTTGTATCATACTGCCACCTGGAGGTTGTACCATGGAGGGTCCCATGGACAGGTAGCGAGACTGTTCTGCGATGAAAACGACACACAATTAGATGACGATGATAGTAAATTAGAAATATACATTTTGGCATTACTTAAAAAAATATGACTCACTGTAAATCATATTTATGAGATTTACTGATTGAGTTTTAAGTCAAATTAGAATTAATAAAATGTATGATAGACCATTTCACTTATAATTGGGACATAACGTGTATTTGTTGTTTTTCTAACATCATCTTTCATAATTATTTTCTGTTGGAAATGGTTTGCCATATATTCATTACCTTTAGTTTCATTTTCTAATGCCCAAGGGCCGTTAAAAACAGTAAACTCAAAAATATCTTTACAAGAAATGAGTAATATAAGCCTAAACAAATGCTGCATGAATGGAAACAAAATGAAACACACAAGACATGGACAACCACAGAATGCATCTTAATCTATCTGGTTTCAAATTTTAACATATTTTCAGTTTTTGAAGCTTTTTTAGATAACAGTAAAACTCTCTATTTGTCCTTTTTCTTAAATTAGTAAAAGCCAATTGTCAGAACTAATAATCCGCAATACCACCAAGACCAACACTCCCGAAGCACTTTATTGATCTGCAAAGAGGTGGTTAATTAATTAATGTCAAGTTAGGAACATCTCCCTCAAATTGATTGAATTGTGGTTTACTCTCCAGAAGATGGCGCCAAGAGAGAGGAAATGGTTTTGATTAGATTTCTTTGTCTGAAATAGAACATTTCTCGATAATACATTTATTTGTAAGCTGCTTACATTATGAGAGATTTAGAAAGGATATAAATTATATAATAAATATAAAAGCTACATATTCATTCATGTTCATTTTGATTTATACTTTGATTAATTTCAGAAAACAATGGCCTATGCTTTTAATACATGCTACACCATGATTTTTTTGTCCACACAATGACATAAAAACATGTCTTGAATCTTTCTCACTCTATATGCAAGCTTATTTTCTTCTATTACAGAACATAAACAAGAAGCAGTACAATGAATAACATAGTTTGATCTGATGTGATACTGGATGATGGATTGCGTCCTCTCTAAAACCTTTGCTGACTCATCTGGCACGATGGTGTTATAAACTCATATAATCCTGTATGCAATTGTCCTGAACATCATCACATCTAGCTATTTGTAATAATTGTATACTTACAATATACTAGGAGGGGGGGGGGTTACTGCTAAATGGGAGCGTCGCTATGGTGACAGCAATCCATTGTAGCCCTCCCTTTCGTTTGCACACTACTCACTTTTCAGGATTATACCTTGCTGCTTATTCACATTCCCCTCGCACAGCGTATGTCCTCTCCTTGTATCCAGAGGCACATTAATCATGCTCTGCCTTACAGTTAATTATCTATCTTCCCCACACACACACACACACACACACACACACACACACACACACACACACACACACACACACACACACACACACACACTGTGGAAACCCTATGATAGAGATGAAATGGTGATTAACTGAACAGGAGTGGCTCGAGCATAGTCAGAGGGCCCCTGTTACTGTTCGCATCTTATACTTTGTGATACGTTAAACAGCTGGATGCCCTTTAGATTATTGCACATCGTGTGAGGCAACTTTATACAGTCAAGACACAAGTCAGCAAGTGATTACAATTTTACCCTAACTGTAAGATACTTTAGTTAATTCTTTACCATTCGACGTATTTGTAAATTATTTCCCTTATGCTTTCTTTTTAGTAATTGGACCCTACCTCTATCCTCACACACATATTTTGCCTTTGGCATATGAATAATGAGTACAGTCATACCTGGCACATACAGTAAAAAAACAGCTACAGTGAATAGCGTGCTGCAGTTTGAGTAAAATTATGATAATATGGAAAATAGTCATAATATAGACTCCACTATCTAAAGGATTTCAAGATGAATAGTACTGCACCCAGGAAAACAATATGTAACCATATAAACAGTATTGTATTATCAGTCAGAAACATTTGAACACTTCCGCAAATGATTGCGCATCTTCATTAAGATTTAAAATCTCAGTCCTAATGTTTTTATACAAATAAACAGGGCGCAGTACTTTATTCTCCAGAATGATATTAATAACGCACAGCAGTAAGAATAAAAACAGCATCACTGTTTACATTCATAAAGGCAAAAGCTTGCTGAGGTCAGGAGGATGAGTTGTCTTTTCTGTCATGTTGTTATGCAGAGAAAAACAAAAGTGCTGTCAGACAGCAGCAGTGGTGCTGCGAAGGCAGATGGCTGCACAGTCTGTGATCTGCCACTGCCAGTATTAAGAGCATTTCTTTGAATCCTCCATATACGCTTTTATTAAGGTCAGTAAATCACTGTGACTTCGCTCATTCTTTTTTTCTACATTACTAAAACTAGTTATAAGTACTTTGGGTATACAACTCTGTGACATTCTCATTAGTTTTATTGAAGACTAAATACATTTTGGTGACCAAATTGTCCCCTAAATCCAGAAATTGTCCCATGCGAAATTCTGTGGATTCTCTAATCTCTTCCATCACTAGTTATTGATCCCACGTGAATGATGAGCAATGTGAGCTATTCCCCCATTTGTCTGAGTCAACAAATTTGTACAGTGAAAAGCAGTAGCAGCTTTATTTCTTACAACCCCTCCAGGGATGCTGCAGTGGTGCTATACACACACTCCTCTGGAGAAATTTATGGACAGGTGTGAGAAGATGTCTCTTGGGGGCTAAGAGCAAGTTGCCGACCAGAACGAGCTGGTGAGTACACATATTCTCACTTTGGCATACACATTCACTTATTTCATGTCTTTCTCTGTTTATCTCTCCATCACTCCCTTGTTCCGCCAGTCTCTGTCTTTGTTACATCTTCTTGACTTCATCCTCTTCCAGTCTGTCATCCTCAATAGGGTTTTCAGGAGGTATCTTTTTGTGCTCTTGCAGTTTGTCATTTTGACACTCTGACACACACACTCACAGCACAGCAGCAGGACTGCTGTCTGAACCTCTTTACAGACTTTGTGATTGCCTTTTTTCTTAACTGCTGTAACACCTAGTGTCAGAGGTGGAGGAGCTGCTATTTGTGGCCAGGCTTCACGCCATAACGTGCCACACTATAGTGTGGGGTATGAGAGCCAGTTGATTCCCCCACTCATCTGATTTGATTAGCTCAGTTCATTAGACCTTTAGTAGTAGGCTGGGTGGTGCACACAGGCACACAGTCAGCCTGCTGAGGATCCCCACCGGCCAGCGAAGAGTGCAGTTTTAAGGGCTGCATTATGCATAATGTGCATGTAGCTTGCTGTCAGCAGGCCGGCGCTACATACTGAGGGGAAGATGACTCTCTAATTGTCTTTATTTTTGAATTTCTCTTGGTAGGAAGCAGGCGTGGGCAAAATCATAGCCGAGGAGGGCTGAAAGCTCTCTTAGACTATGCCATCCTAATAAGAGCTGAGTGGGGCTGAATACAGTCATTTATTCTCTCTATCTATGAGTGGAAACTGAGCCCTGGTCAATTTATTCACCATATCAGTTTTTAATATTTATTTATTGGTTTATTTGAACGGGACAGTGCACATTAATAAAAACATTTCTGCAAATGTGCCAGAGTTAGCCAAAAGGCTATTTTTCATCTGTAGTCCCAAAGGCAGATGTTTACAAAATAAACCTAAAAACAATGTAAGATTAAAGTTAAAAGGTTATACAATATTGACACTTAACAATGTGTGCACAAACAATGAAAAAGGTAGAATAAAACTGTTATACATTGTCAAGTACAGACAAGACATTCAAAGCACACGTAACCTTTTGCTCCTGAATAGAAAAGTAAACATATTGGTATTGATCCTCAGCCTTACGTGAAAGAAAAACAGAATGAACTGTCTGAAAATTGCTCAAGAAACATGGAATACCTTTTTATTTTATAGATTGTTTATAAATGTTAAAAAATACACAAATAATTTTGATGTGCTCTGGACTAAATTGACTAAAGTTGTGAACCGTGGGGGTGTTTGAAGGTGATTCAGGCAATGTTTACTACACTGAAACTGCAAATATGTTTCTTGTGCTGGACTGAATTTGTGTAATGTTTTGTGTGTGTATAATCCATTTCTCTCTGGCACAGGCATTACTAATAGTCCTGCCCTGAGCAATGGGTAGAAGCTTTCATGCGAAAAATAAAGATTTTAGCTAGTCCTAAGATTATTTGCAGTTTTTCTGAAGTAGACAGATGTGTGTGTTAAAGAGAGCTCTTGTTGTTGTCCCTCACATGACAACAAGCTGACAACTCCTCACAAATGGATTGTCAACAACAACAAGGACATGCAGTGTATCATTTGTTTTTCCACATGAGCAAGGAGAAACATTGTCATCCAGTGATCCGATTTATACATTGCTTCAGTCTGTGCATGTAGCACGTTTTGCACGACTGATTTGCTGCTGTGATGTAAGATTTTCAATCACTGTCAAGTCAGTTCTGTTGACATCCTTCCATTACTCTTCTCATGTAGATCAGGACAGGATTTCATAGAAGGGGTTCTACATCTAGACTGTCTCATAGATGCAAAGCACAAAGAGGCTTTTTAGGAACAAAGAACTAATATTGTAGGTGCATTACTGAGATGGCCCAGAGAGTATATGATGGTTGGCAAAATTAAATTCTGCAGTAAAAGCATCATTCGCCTGAAAGAGAGAGAGACTCTTATTCAGTCGTGAAAAATGGGTTTTCAAGTAGCTTCACGTCTGCCGGCTGCATGCTCGAGTGAAAGTACAACAATGGGTGAACATAGACGAAATAAAAGGCTATACTATGGCCAATCGTCCTGTGAGGTTGTCAAAAAACATCAGTGTCTAAGTGAATTTGAAGGACCAATGTTCATAGTTTATGTAATTTCAATTTATTA